GGGGGGGGGGGGCAATCACATTCCCCGTGGCTCTGGGTGGGGGCGTGGCGTGGCGTGGCGTGACGTGGCTGGGAGGAGAGGGGCGTCTGCTACTACTCCGCTGTGGGCTTCAGGTTCAAGTTCACGACGCTCCGCTCTCAAGTACTTCCGCTTCTGTTGCCGCGACACGAGCGCTCCAAGGTGCTCGGTGAAGTATACACCCCGCTGCTGCTGCTGCTGCTGCCACTGCTGGTGCACGGTAGAAGCATTAATGTGGCTAGACGATCTATTCACCGTTTTCCCTTCACTCGTTTTTTTCCGGATCCAAGACAGCTCTCAGATTTTGAAAATTTGGCAGATTGGGGGGGGGGGGGGGCAAAACCTTGCATTCAGGACTCACACCAAAATCGGGGCCACTAGGCCTCGGGGCGAGTTGTGCCTGGGGCACCCTTTTATTCACTTTATATCGCCCGACAACATTTTGTCCGAGCGGAACAATCAAATAAAACACCGAAAATAACGCAATACAAAACAAATAAGCAATGCAATGCGGTGGAGAGGGCTGGCCGGCCCGCCTCAGCTCGCTGCTCGCGCCAGAGACTGATTGGGGTCGACAGGGAGGAGACCGTGCACGGCTTGCTGTTGGCTGACCCCCCTCTCCCCCCTTTCCAGCGGCGACGCGAGGCGAGCAGGCAATTTGATTAATTTTGTTGGTGAAGTTGGCTAGATGTCATACTGATCTCACTGCCCCTCTCCTTCCCCCTCCTCCCGCAACAGGCTGGGTGAAACACCCCAAAAAATGTGTTCTCAATTCAAGTTTTGCTCTTAAAATTTTGAGCCCCATTTTTAGTTTCAAGTCCTATTTGTTCCTTAAAACAAGAAATGGGGCTCAAAATTTTAAGAGCAATACATGAATTGAGAACACAGTTTTGGGGGTGAAGAAGAAGATTTAACCGGGCTACAGATGGGAAAGGCCAGTTTTACATCTAGCAAGGATATGTGTTCTTAAGCACATCTCAACTACACACAAAAAAGAACTTAGGCTAGCGACAATTTTCAGATACAAATCTTCATCCAGTAAGGTATGTGCTTCCCTTGATACAAAATTACCCTTCTCAATTTTCAGTGTACTTGTCGTCTAATTCTATCGGCGCGCCTCTCTTTAAAGAGAGTGCCGCTGGAAACAGATAACCATTTTACTCCGCAGGAAAATATCATTTTGATAAAATGTAAACTTAATGCCTTTTGGGCTTAAATGCTTTTAAAATGTTGGGTATCCTACTCTTGTTTTACCAAGTGTAACCCCCTAGACGGAACTAGGGACGGTCCCGTCGTAACCCTTTGAACTCTAGACGTATAGGCCGGGGGTACAGTGGTCCCACCACACCGTCACAGGGCGTGTTATGGCCTCCCGGACCGATCCGATCCCCTCCGGCAATTAACTCTGCTTCGGCTTTCAGCGGATGAATGACACTGACACAAACAAATACACGCAGATACGCACACAAGGGCAAAGGGGGGGTCATCACGACCAGTGCAGCCCGGGCGCGGCGGAGTGAAGAGGGGATCAAACGGTAGGGGAGGGGCACTGCAAGCCGGAGCATTAGGGCTGCCCAGAGACCTTCTTCGTCATAATTTGTAGACCATTTGAAAGGGAACTGGACCGGGGGGTTACATCCGCCACGGACGAGGCTGACGTCCATTCCACTCCACCTCGCCGACTCCACATAAGATTTGGATGCTAAACTTATGCTTCTAACAAGGGAATTGAATGGAGGGGGTGAGAAATGCGTGGGGGGGGGAGGGGGCAAATAATCACGCTGCCTTATGCGTCGGCCACGGGGCCAGGCTGATAAAACATTTTATAACCCATCCTTTCCTCGAACCATTTCATACATATATTGCTACGTTTAACTGCTGGAGCGAAATCGTAGCCGGGGCGCGCGCGCGCGTGTGTGTGTGCGCGCGCGCGCGCTGCCGCGTGAGGCGCGAGAGAGGCGAGAGAGCAAGGCGTTGCTAGGCGGCGCACGGCGCGGCGAAGGGCGTTGGTGGAAACCCTATCTCGGCGAGCGCGGCAAGACAAGCAGCGCCCCCCGCCTTGCCGCCCGCGCCCCCGAAAACTTAGCGCGCGCGCCGCTGCTGCTGGTGTCATTTGTAGTCAAAGCCTGGAGTCGGCGAGAGGCGAGAGGGGACGCGCGGCCCGGCCGGCCCGGCCCGGCGGCGGTCCTCCGCGCCTTCTCCCATCCCGCCCCTCTTCCCGCCTCGCCCGCGGCGTGCCACGCCCTCTAAAAGTTGAACGGCTACCCTGCAGCAGGGTCAGCGGGGCGGCGCCCTGCCCTCCTCCCGGCCCTGTCCGGCTCCTCTGCGCTCGGCGCGCTGCTGCCCAACGCAACCCGTTGCATAACCGCACCGACCTGGTGCCGCCTGGGCGTGTTTGCTTGGCACTGATGCGGCTGGCGCCGAGACTGACGACGCCGATCCTGACGACGCCGATCCTGACGACGACGTCTTCTTTTTTGGCGCTTCAAGTAATTATTTTAATCGTCATCAAAGTCTGGGATCCGGGTGAGGGGCCTAAATTCTTCAAAATGCAGAAATTTCTAAATGATAATGCTACCATAGCTGACCCGTTTCGAAATAAAACAAAGTGAAATATTTCCCGAGGCCGAGCTCTTGAGTGGGCGATCTCTGGCGGGAACCCCACTCTTTCACCTCACCTACCGCGCGTCGTCCACGCTCGCTGCGGGCGGAGCGCCTGTGAGCTTGGGGGTATGCAACCCTCGCGCACCGCTGCGGTGCAGGCGGCCCAGCCCCGCAGACCGCCCTGCCCACACTGCACCGCTGCTGACGACGACGATGACGACGATGAGAGCGGGGCGCAGGGGATCAGACAGGCTGATCCCCCCCCCCCCGGTCCCCTCACCAGCGGCACAGCAACACAACATCGGCGAGCGATTTGAGTTTTATTGTGAAGCGAGGCGAATGGGGATTACGGCGGGGCGGGAGTCGCCGTGTTGCGGCGCGCTCGCCGGCTCACCTGCATAACGCGGGGCGGCATGTTTAAACGAGCTCTCGCAGCTCTCGCGCATCGGGGACACGGCGCCGGCCGTGCAGCAGTGGTGCGCGGCATATTGGACAGACCGCATGACGTCATGCGCGGATGTCGCGGTGCAGAGCTTGTTAGCGGAGGGGGAGGGGAGGAGGGGGGCTGCATGAAGGGCCGGGCCGGCAGGCCATCGGATAGGCCGCGGCATAGCAGGCCTCCCCCTCCACATGGATCCAACCCGCTGCAGTGATGCCGTCGAAACAGCTGCCTGATTAATATTGCATATGCAGAAGGCACAGAGGACGAGTGCTGAAAGGCATGACGTACAACTTGATCTGTCTGAATGCAAGGTGAATTTCCCCACGATAAAGTGATTACTGTCCGTTCTTTTTTTTTGTATGATATCGTTCGTCATTTCAATACGGCCCCGGTGCATAAGGCGGCCCTGAGCCCCGCTCACCTCCCCCTCTCCGATATGATAAAGCGGGCACACAGACGGGGCGCGTGCGCGCGCGAGCGTCCTCACTCTATATCAAGCTCACGAGAGCGCCCCGATAGCTTGCCGCGAGTGAGAGGTACACTACTCGGGCAGTCTGCGAGGCACCCGAGGGGGCTCACAGGCGCCCCGGCACACGGCAAGGAGGCACCTACCATCGATTGCGATGGTGACCGCGACGGGGGAGGGTCGCCCGGCCGCGGCCCGCAGGACGGGACACGCAAAGAGGCGAGCCCGGGGCCCGGGCCGCGGGCAGGGCCGGCGTCGCGTCAGCTGCGGCTGCGGGCTGCGGGCAGACGGAACAGACACGCACCGCCAGCTGTCGCTATCGGCCCACTCACTCGCGTAGGCGCACTGCACCGCATGGCGCCGAACGGGTAGGCAACACGCACGCACGCCTACACGACGTGAACCATTATTGGTGGTTAGCAAAAAGTGTAACAAAACCGTTTTAAGGCAATTGTGATTCAATTCATCCAAACACTTCTTCAAAACGATAGACCAGGTGGTTGATTCACGCCGCGCACTTACGTAGTTAGACTGTACCAGGTAGCTGGGTGACCCCGCTCACTCAGCTGTAGTTCACGGTAACAAGCAGGCCCGCCCTTCCGCCAAACGGATTTGCCAGCTCCACTTCGCTGCGCCGGCAACTCCGTTCGGCAGGGGCCGGGCCTGCTTGGCTTGCCGGCGGCGATGGTCGGGCCTTCGGCCCGACCATTTCAGTCTCGCGATTTACT